GTCTTGTGATTATTTGACAGGAGTTTTACTTTTAAAATGTAAGTGTATTCAATTTAGTTATAATGTTAAACAATAAAAATGAAACCAAGATTTAGAATAATTATCATTTTGATCCATACATTGGTAATGTCTGACTGGGCCTCATGTCACTTCATTTTCAATAAATTGGGCCCCGAGGTCAAAAAGGTTAAGAACTTCAGAATTTCATCTCCACAGTCCATAAAATCATCAAAAGATTTAGAGAATCTGAAAAAATCTCCACAAGTAAGCAAGGCTGAAAACCAACATTGAATGTTGGTGACCTTTGACCCCTCAGGCAGCTCTGCATTAAAACCCCACATGGTTCTGAAACAATATTAACACATGGGCTCAGGAAGACTTCAGAAAACTGTTGTCAGTGAACACAGTTCACAAACATTTACTGAGTGTTGTTAAAGCTGATGGAACATGGAGGTAAAACATGAACCTGTCCCAGCTTTGTTGGAACGTGTTGCAGCATCAATTTCAAAATGAGTGAATATTCACAAGAAAACAAAAAAGCTTATCTGTTTGAACATTAAGCATCTTGTCTTTGGTGTGTATTTGATTCCATGTAGTTGGAAAAGTATTTGGAAATCATTGTGTTCCATTTCTATTTATGTTTTACACAACGTCCCAGCTTCAGTGGAATTGAGTTGTAAACATTCTGTATGCTTCTTACTGAAACATGTTTGTTTTTTATTCTTTGTTAGGATTTCCTCATAAAAGAGGATTCCTCCACCTGTCAAAGGCTCAACATCCCGGAGCTGCGAGTGGCAGAGGAAAATTTCCCAACTGATGATGTAGGAGTCGCACATTAATCTGTTTGTTGTGTAGTTCAGTAACTCAAACATAAGAGTGTTGTTTTAAACTATGTTGTCATTGTTGTTGTTGTTGTTGTTGTCATCGTCATCAGTACAGTCCAGCGATCTGGAGAAATGGTTTGCTTTCCAACAGCTTGAGGCCTGCTGCTTCCATTAAAAGTAAGAAACAACAAATCATTTCATCAGGCTTCTTTTTCACTAGTTTTTAAATCATTTACTTATTATTGCTTCTGATTATTTAAAAAAACATTCAAGTACACATATAAAACTACAGTTTGTGGATGGTTCTGTCATTGGACTTTCTTTTCATAAACAAAAACAAAGAATGGTTGTTTGAAACCAATGATGACCTGTTTTCTCATATTGTGAATTTAGAAGTTGAAATTCAGACAAAAGCAAAGATCTTTAAAACAAAACAAAACAAAACAAAACCCTGTCATTATGGAAGTTAAAGAGGATAGTTTTTTTCTGTGATAAATGAACATTTTATTTTTATTTACCGTTATTTTACCAGGCAAATCCCATTGAGATCTCAGATCTCTTTTTCAAGGGTGGCCTGGGCCTGAAGGCAACCTATTGTACATGGAGCACTTTTCATTTTAAATTAGCTTTGGTGTTCACATATGGCTTCTTCTTTGCTTGATAGAGCTTTAACCAGCAATTCACTACCCTCTAGTGCAGAGATTCTTAACCTATGGGCCACGGCCCAATTGTGGCCCACGAGCGCCACCTTGAGGGCCTCAAAAGAACAACAGTTTTTTTAACTTTGGGCCACAGAGGGCCGTGGGACTTGAATAAGGTGCAATACACTTTCTCACCACTAGTAGCAGTAGTGCACCTTTCAGGTGTTTAACAACTTTTTTAATAATAATAAGAAGAAACTTAGAAACCTGCCGAGAATGGAAACTTATTTTAAATGAAAAGTAGAAGCAAAAATTAAGGTAACTCATCAAAAAAGGCCGAACTTTGTCACTAATATGAAGTAGAACTTCTGGTTCTATCATGCAGTATTTTAAAAGTTCAAAACATCAAGTACAGTTGCAGAT